TCGTATATTTTCGAGGAAGTCTCTGAGGTCCGCCATGGACGCGTCCTGTATAGCTTGTCGTAGCCGCGGTATGTCGGCTGAGATCTGCCCGCACCACTTGTACGGACCGACGCGAGGGAGTAACACGTGCTCCAGTTGTTCTAACGTCTTTAAAGCTGGATAATATCTGAAATCCAAACAAAGATGCTATAAACCACCGAAAAATTAAACATATTAACCTATTTTAACTAATATTAAGTTCTGTTATGTATACTGATGCATAATTATACTTATTTGTCATATGAAATGTGTCAAAATACAACATGCAACTTAAATAACGCACATCCTGAAAATAGTTTGTTCAGAATCGTTAACTGAATCGATTTATATGATTTTTAGTATAGGTAATTTTTTATCCCAAATATAATTAAAACTACGGAAATTATTGTCATATTATCCCTGTATTGTTAAAACAAATCGAAATGAACTGTAAGTCAAAGCAATAAGACTTTTGAAATCACAGTTTTATTTGAATCATACAAATTCTATCATTCAATATAAAATAAAGAAAAATAAACCTTATGACAAGACCAGTAAGGATGCATACATGTTAAATTAAAAATTTAGTGTATGTATTATGATTATAACATAATATTCTAATTGGGGTGTTTGAGGGTGTGCGTTAATTATGTTACATGTTGTATATGACTAACATCAACTTAAATAACACATTATAAAAATAGGACCTTTGAAACAATCATTTAATAAACATAGTTAACTTTATGCCAGGGACATACATGAGATTAAAGAGAGATTAAAGAGTATCTGTTACAATCACAAGTTGTTCCGATTTTGAATTTTCCACACACTTGATTTGAGACTTTAGTAAATTATAAACACCTCACCTTTTAGCTTCCACTTGAGACTTCAGCTTGGAATATGTAGTCAGCAATGGCAGGCACAGCTCCATCTTTTCTATGGTAGCTGCAATGTTGAGCTCCACCCTTCTAGCTCGGATCAACTCTTCAGCTTTAGCACATAAACCTTAAGAAGAAAGTATGTGTTTAGAAGCCCAATTTCTTATCTATTCTTTTCCAGAGTCAATATTTTGTACCGGTACCCCACCCACTGTCGCTGCCGACACGTGTCGCAGGACATTTGTATTCTTGGCTTAATAACACATAACAGTACGCGTTTTATCCCCGAAGGGTTTAAGCAGAGGTGCACATTATGCTACTGTACAATGTAACACCCACTTTTCCCTATTTATGTTACGAGTCCCATGTAATAGGGGGTGAGCCTATCGCTTAATAAATATACATAATATCCTTCTCTTCTCTAAATCAACATCATAGTAATTCTGCTTTCATGCATTCTAGCAGTTTAATATTTTAGAGAAAATATTTTTTTTTTTCATTTTAAAGTTAAAAAGAGTTTGTTTAAGCCTAAAATTTTAACGCAACGAGTATGTTATACCTACTTAATAATGAGCAAGTACTTACTGTCAGTGGTGTCTTTGACATTGGCATCCACATTAGATATCTCCGCATGCAACTCCTCAGCATGTGACCGCACTTGTAGTAACTCACGTATTGAGTCAATAAAGCCCTGTACATATAGAATCATTTTTCTAGATTCATACTAGATAAGAGTCATAATCACGAACAAGCATTTTGTGACAGGATCTAGTAGTAGTGGCAGAACTAGTAGACCGCTACATAAAAGAAGTTTGCCACAATCACCCTGATGGAGATAACTGTTCAAAATAAATAGGAAGTTTTTTAATTAAGCAAGCAAACATATAATTTAAGCCTTTAAGTGTCAACAAAAGCTGTTAAAGGTAAATCCTCAGCTAGCATTGATAATCATTGCCCGACATGGCATCTATTGGGTTAGCAACTTACAAAGTGACTATTAATAGTACCTGAAGATACATTAATTAATTAAGTGCGGGTTGTTTATGGAATAACTACAGTAAATAGTGTTTATTTCTGTTACCTGATAATGAAAGTTGCATAGCTTCTCAATTTCTTTGTCATGTTGTTTTATCCGTTCATCCAACTGTTGTACAAACGCTTCGTGGCCTTCTCCTTCATATATAGAACGGAATGCAGGGCCCCAATAATCATCAATTCCTTCTATCTCCTAGAAACATAAGTAACATTAGAATAAGCCCATAAAATGTTAGTACAAACTGACTCTCATATATATGGTAGATAGAGTATTCTGCAATGTTTAGTTATTCTTCTAAGTTAAATATAAGAAATAGTAAAATTTAAATAAGTTGGTGGGTGTATACCTGGATCGTAGCGTTCGTCATTTTTGCTTGCTCGGTCGCTATCGCTAAGCAGTAAGTACGAAAAATTTATGAACCAATAAAAACCATGAGATTGTTAATGTAATTTGTGATTTCTAAATAAAGTTTTATAAGATTTTTTTCTAAAAAAATAACTTTTTCTGATCAGAAAAACAAAATGACATTATTTATTTTGACATTAAATTTCTAATCCGACAGACATTGACAGACAGTTGACATTGACAAAGAAAGAAGAACACACATTTTCGTATTATTTATGTGCTGTATTTAATATCAATTATTTATTAGTTCTACGGCTAAGCTACGGCTGGTTAGTAAAGTACATCATTTCCTATCATTTTATATTTACACAAATTGTAAAACTTTTCTTTTTACGCATATTCCATTTTCAGAACAAAAAATGATTTAACGTAGAATGAAACGCATAGAGATGCCCTATAAAACAAAAAAATACCCTAACTTTTTGAAGCAGCATTATTTTTTATTTTTTTTGTTTTAAATTAATCACCCGATTGAATATTCAATCATGATTAATTTGTATTGAAATATATTAGCTGACTAGCTATTAAATCTGAAGTAGCATCTTCTTGGCTGTTGAAACTATTCAAGGACAACTGTTAGAACAATTTGAAAGTAAGAGAGTGTGGATTAAGAATAAATTGTTATAACGAATGATCACTGTTTATGAATGATGCTTTTGAAAGGAAAGGTATGAAAGTAAATGTGAATAAGACAAAAGTGTTGGTAGTAGAAAGAAATGAGATTATAAAAGAATGTCAGGTAATGATAGGTGATTAAAAATTGAAACAAGTGAATTAGTTTGTTTATCTGGGATCACGATATGCGAGAGATGAAAAGTGTGACGGGAATATTGAAAGGACACTCTGTAATATCGAGTAAAATAATATCCAGCAAAGCTCGACTTGCTGGAATGCAGTGTGTATTGACACCAACGCTTATGGATGGTAGTGAGTGAATCATGGGTGTGGCAGAAGAAGTATGATAGCAGGATTAATGTGGTGGAAATGAGAGCCCTGAGAAGTATGTGTGGACTAAAATTGAGTGATCGAGTGAAAAATAGTGTTATTAGTGAAAGGTGTGGATTGAAAGATGATGTAGTGACAAGGATTGGAAGGGGAATATTACGCTAGTTTAGACATGTAAAAAGGATAGATGAAATTAGAATAACGAAATAAGTACTTAGACAAAGTGGATATTAATGGGGCCGTCGGTAGAGGGTGCCCTAGACGGACACACATTGACCATATTGGCGATATAATAAAGAAGGCCAAATTAAAAGTACCCTTAACCGACGAGCATGCTTGAAAAGATTGATGACTGTTGATGAAGCGAAAGAGCTACGTAGGAATCCCAGCAATACGGTAGTTGACAGGTACTCAAATTCAATACTTTTATTGAAATGTCAAAAACTATACTTTTTTATGAATTTTGTATTAGATCGCAACTTATGGCGTCATCATATTTCTGCGTCATATAGCATACTTATTTCCTTAAAATTAACGATGAAAATCCAAAAGTAAGTAAATTGTCAAATCAATGGATGAGATGGCACCCATGGGGGTAGGCAGAGTATGTATGTATGTATGTATGTATGTATGTATGTATGTATGTATGTATGTATGTATGTATGTATATAGATTTCGTGATGCTTTAAAAGAAGCGTTTAATATGTCCTTTCATAATAAGAGGGCTATGTTATAACAACGATGTTCGATATGAAATTTGACGCAGGTTAATTATACTAATGTACAAACAGTTAAAATGACACTTATTTAAACTGTATACTTACAATAATAATTACTATACCTAAGTAAACAGTCCGAAAATGGCAACCAAAAATTCATAAAAATAAGTTTATTGCTCAGTAAATTCAGTGTGCAGATATAAAGGAAGATTAAATTTTATCATAGTGTTTTATTCCTAACTAGCTATAACCCGCGACTTTGTCCACGTAGAATATTAATTAGGAAATCAACCCTATGTTTGTCCCATTGTGTTTTCTAAGTAGATTTGTGGTAATCCGTGGCAACATCGTGAGGAGCGTATTTGTTAAATCTATTACTTTACTCACCCGTGTTATTGTGTTACCCGTGTTATATTTAATATACTGCTGTTTGTTGTCCTTAAGATATAAAATAAAAAAAACATTTTTTTATTTGAAATTTCCAAAATAAATGTAGCCTATGTTTTTCCAGGGATTAACAGTACAAACAGACCGACAGACAAACCAATATTGTAAAAAAACATATTTTAGTATGGCTATCGTATATACATTCATGTGCATGAAGTAAAAAGCGGTTATTAATTTATTATTACAAACAGATACTCCAATTTTATGTATCTGTAAGTATGTATAGACATTATACCTACATTTTTAGTCATTAACATGATTTTCATTTATGTTCCCTAATTTGTTCAGTCGTTTAGATTGTGGCAACTTCACAGTAATAACGTCAAGTGTGCGATAGAAGTGGGAACTTGGGAACAAGTCAAAAACTGCCAAACTGCCAAAGTGCCAATCCAATCCTGCGGACGCACTGGTGGAGAGTGTAATTTCAGTGTTTTATTAATCGATCCATTTCTAAGGCATTTTTATTTATTTTACAAAATCGATGTTGCCGTAATTTAATTAATTGTGTAATTGTTATTTAAATCCAAATTGATTGTGTAAAGTCCGGGAACCATGGCTCACTGTATGAGAGTTTTGCATGGCCAGGCAAGTTCCTAAATTATTCCACGTTTTAGTTTAAGTATGGAATATTTATTCTATTAATAAGTGTAATTATAAATGCAACTAATTCACGTTTGTTTACGGTATTATCGCAATTGCGACCGATTAATAAATCCCGATAAACCATCATGAATGGATAGGTCGGGTCACGTAAATTAAGCCATATGAGGTCAACAAGGGTTGTGATTAATGCATTTATCAAGATATTTGTTATTTATAGTGCAATGAGATCAGGGAGCGCACTGTGTTACGTAGTCCTGGCAAGAATGTACTAATTGATATTTTTTTATCAGGGAACCAGGACACGAGCTGTGCTCTTGGAGATCCAGCAAAGATGCTTCAGCGTGTCCCCCCTCACCGCTGCGGCGGCCCAGGTACGTAGAAAGTGAAAAAAAGTGATATTTCCAGTGTTTTCATTGATAAGAAGATGTTGTTATGTAATCATTATAACAATGAAAATCTGTTGTTAGGCCTCAATGATGGTTTCTGAGGGTCCTGTGATGTGTTGTAGGTTGCGATGTCGAAGTTCGACCAGAGCCCACTGCCCTACGAGAAGCTGACCAAGAATTTGGAAGTTGTGAAGAAGAGGTTAGGTCGTGACATGACCTTGTCTGAGAAAGTGCTGTACTCTCACTTAGATGACCCTAAAGGACAGGTATGTGTTATATAATCTGTATTGTTCTATCAAGGAAAATTTTGTGATTCATTGAATAAAGATAAGCAAGAATGTGTGACCTTTTTATACGATGATACCAACCTTGCAATGCAACACTGTTAAATAAAAGAAGACGAATAATAATTTAAAACAATATTTAAGACATTTTCCTGTATGCATACAAGAGAATATAATTTGTGGACAGTCTAGAATGATAACATGAATATAGTCACATTTGGTATTACTTACTCCTGTAAAAATATTGTTTGTATATAGTTTGTAAACAAAACATATCATAAAAGGGATTATTGTGAGCTTATCAATAACAAATGTTGCTATTTTTTTCAATGATTATTCTATTCACAGTTGAAATTATCACCTCTATACTCAATAGCAATAGCTCTATTTTATGAACATTTTGTAGTAGGTATTTTATTATTGTTTTAGAGATATTTCCATTTATGTCCAGATTTATGTTATTATGTCACACATTAAGCACCTTCTCATACATGAGTTTAACACATATAAAAGTGAAGATTTATGGAGACAGTGGAAATCAATGTAGTGTTTTTATTATAAAAAACTAGATTTAATGTTAATATTAATAAAGCTGCTAGATGCAGCTTTAATGTTAATATTAATAAAGCTGCATCTATTTTTGATAACATAATTTAATTAATTATTACTTTTGCTACAATGAGACTGTATGTAGAATGACCTGTTGGAGCCAAATAAATTGGGTGCAGTTTTCAATTACTACTACTGGTTTTACGTTACAAACACCATAATGAATTTATTAATATTTTTCTTATCAGATAACACTGCTAATGCTAGAAGATAATCTAAATTACAAATTCTGTGATGTTTTTTCCAACTGCATTTAATTTTAAAATGTAAAGAATTGATTGATTTTGTTTATGTATTTACTGTGAATTATAGAAACAGATGTTATAAAAAAATTAATGAGATAGAGTTTTAGGCATGTCTAATAGATAGACTTAAAAAAATTGTGTGAAGGACTTGCACAATTTTTTTAAAAATCTTAATAAGTTCTTCAAGGAAAGTTAGTACTTTACAAAATTTTCGCAACACCATTCATAAAATGTTCTCTCCATGCAGCAAATCGAGCGAGGCACTAGCTACTTGCGCCTGCGACCTGACAGGGTTGCCATGCAAGATGCCACCGCACAGATGGCCATGTTGCAGTTCATCTCGTCAGGGCTGCCCCGCGTCGCCGTACCCTCTACCATCCACTGCGACCACTTGATTGAGGCTCAGATTGGTGGTGACAAGGATTTAGCCAGAGCTAAGGTCAGTCAACTATCACGTCATGTTATGTGTACTAGAACTTGTTGAGTTTAACTTATTTTCAATAAATATTGTTAGCTTATTTCAAACAGAATGGATATAGTAATGGTTTATTTAATATTACATTTGAACACTTATTTGAGATACTATAAACCAATATTTACTATTTTTAAAAGACTTAAAATTTTATTACTAGTAGGAAGCTTAGAACTGTTCCTAGTCCCTGTCTTGTGGAACCAATCTCACCCCCTTAATATGTGGGCCTCATAACAAAATAAGTGTTACATTAAAAATGTATACCCTTTTACATTTTTGGAAATTAAAATGGATAGGTATCACTCGACTTGCTCGACTGCCTCGTTATCCACTCGGACAACGAGGCAGTCTCGTGTTTCGGGTTCGATTCCCGGGTCGGCTAAAGTATAACTGGGATTTAAAAAAAATCTTAGTATTACCACGGTGTCCGGTATTGTGCTGGTATATGGTTCATCCCCTATCACAAGGGACTCGTACAATAAATAGTGAAAAGTGAGTATTACATTGTACAGTCGAATTAAAAACCGTAGTATGCACTTCTGCCTACTCCTCCGGGGATAAAAGGCGTGATGTTATGTATAACACCTTGAAGTGACTTAAACCAGTATTAACCAGTACATACCTATTACCTTTGAGATACGAATTTTCACTTGAAATATCACTGAATAAATATTGATAAATACTGAAGCCGAAAATGATTAAACATTTCCAGTTAGATTCGAATAAAACCGGATTTATTGTATTGATTAAGTAGTATTGAGTCGTAAGCCACATATTTACAATGTGTTTTTATAAACATAGTCTAAAGTAATCTGTGATATGTTATTTTTTTCAATACTATTGTTTTTAATATCAGGTAAAAGGTCATATAAAGTGTGTACGATATCTCAGCATCCAATAATGTAAACAAGTTGTATTGTAAAAGTTAACAATTTAAAAATAAACCAACTATCGTAAATATGTGACGTATAGTCACTGATATTTTATTACTTGGATGTCAAAGGCTGTTTAAATGTTTAGTACAATTGTGTCTAGGTACTTACTTGACTAATTATATTATTATAACTTATTTTAGAAAAATCTATAGGAAGACATACATTAAAAAGTTTTTATTTCACAATTTCTAAGACCCACTGCAGAAAATAAAGTAATAACAAACATCTTTAAAAAAATCCATGCAATTTATACATATTTTTTTATTAGGACATCAACAAAGAGGTATACAAGTTCTTGGAGACAGCGGGAGCTAAATATGGCGTCGGTTTCTGGAAGCCAGGCTCCGGTATTATTCACCAGATCATCCTGGAGAACTACGCCTTCCCTGGACTGCTTATGATCGGAACTGACTCTCACACACCCAACGGGGGCGGTCTTGGTGGTCTTTGCATTGGTAAGCTATTGAGTTTACTGAAAACTAGGTATTAATAACATTGAATAATTTCAATTAGGTTCTATGATATATAATTTGAATAGTTTATCCTTAGCAACTGAATATGATGAAATCAATAAAAAATGAATACTCAAAAGTAATGAGTATTTTATGTGAATCAGATCTGCTCAAAATTAATAATTATGTATATTTCTGGTAGATTATAATTTCGTAACATATTGCATACATAATTATATATACCAGGTAGCAAGTTATTTTAAAAGATAAAGAGTTTTGATTTGATAGAAATGAAAGATAAGATGTGTACCTTTACGCAATACTAACAACTGTTATAGTTGTAGTAGAAAAAATATGAGTATCATTAGGGAGTTGAATATGCTCATATATGTCAACCAGATCAGCAGCATCAACATTGAGCAAACAGATCTAATTTCTCATGCCTACCATGAATAGCACACAGAATTAAAACAAGAATTATTGTACCTACATTATCACTAGAACATTATACATTTTTCATTACATTCATAGTGTTTTAAGATTTATTTTCATAGTGTATGCTAGATTAGGTTAATGTTTAATTAAATTTCTTCTGTTGCGTAGGTGTGGGTGGCGCTGACGCCGTCGACGTAATGGCCAGCATCCCATGGGAACTCAAGTGCCCCAAGGTCATTGGTGTTAAGCTTACTGGTGAGTAAATACAAATATTTTTATGGTAAATGGGTAAAAAATGTTTAATGCGGTAATCAAATCAAAAGTAATACTGTATTAACTATTAGGTATTAGAAGAAGTTTACTACGCTTTACCATCGCCTATATTAGGTATATGCATTGCATATGCTTATGGTTGATACAGTAATATGTTGTATATTATGCAACAAGTGCTACATTCAGTGTCTACTTCTATGTAGCTCCTAATGTCTCATGTACTAGACTCACCTCCTATATTACCTGGGAATCATAACATGACTAGAGAAACATGGATGCTAAGCCATCGTGTATGTGTTCTGCATATCTCCTGGGGGATTTAAAGGTGTGACGTTATGTTATGTTCTGTGTAATCACTTGGAGAATTATTAACGTCATGATTCTATCAAGTTTGTTTTAGCAAAATACATAGTAACTAGAAATATGGCCATCTGGTTCCGTTTACTACTACCAAATGTTGACAAAAACAAATGTAACACTTAACACGTCCATACTAAGAACAATACATTATGTAAACACATGTAGGTAACTAATTCTTGTCTGCCAATCACACGACGGTATTTCAATTGGTGTTTCCAAGTCACCTTGTAAAGAAACTCGATAGCGCGTCGCTATATAACTGGTGATGAAGAGTAATAGCTGGCTATGTACTTACTGCCGTCTATCTTATGTACATAGTACTACTATATGTTAATATTGCACACGATATTGTTCTTTATGTATGAAAATGTGTGTAAGATATATACCGAAAAAATATAATATTGTTGCATTGCAATATCCTTTCTATGACCCACGTTTAGAATGGTATTAAAGGTAAACAAAAATAAAACTATACATGTGGGGAAGGTAAAATCTAGTGCCAACAGATACCACGTATATTTTTGTCTCCTTTTTTTGACAGAAAGTAGGGATGACGACAGGGTATGAAAATTAAAAATCTAACAAGTCCGTCAGTTAGGTAATGAAAAAATATTAGAATCGTATTTTTTATTTTGTTGTACCTATAACAAAATGATACTTAGATAAAACTATTCAAAGTTTAGGAGTGGGGCCTAAACATCATTTCTACGTATAAAATGTACATAGAACTCAAATCACGCGACATTTGAAATCAATAGGTATATCGTCGAAAGTATTCGTTTCTGTAATTTTTTTTTTTTATAATCTACCATACGGAAATTAAAATAAAAATTAGTCATCTACCCTATTGTATGTTGACATTGAAAAATTACCCTTATAATATAGTTTTTCAAATTGACGTCACTAGTAGAACAGTAGGTACTTAACAATCTTGATATCTTTGTATAAACATTGCGAACAGTAAATATTGCACACCATTTCGACAATACATATTAAAAATACTATTGTTTTTCTAAACTTATCAATGTTTTCTGAAGATCATGTCTTCTTTACGGTTTGATTGCATCGAGAATTTTGTGTACACATAGATAGCGATAGTTTGTATGTGTAATGTAAAAATAGGTCGGAGTGATTCGCGTGGCCGGGCGCCAACCTGCCAAAGTCAATGTGTAGTGGGCGAAGAACTTTCTAGGGATCCGCGGGCAGCAGTAGGAAACTATCTGATTGGTTGAATGTTTCTATAGCCTTTATGTATTGTGCAATTTTTGGCTACGTTAGCTCATTAAGATACAATTAAAAACGAAACTTACTTATATAATATACCTATACCTATTAGATTTTAATACCACAAATCGCAAGTACAAATAGACAGTTATTTTTTCACTTTTTATGTACGGAACCATTCGACAACTATCAGATTTGGGTGTTGTTTATAAAACACAATAATTCAATGACGCGGTGCCATTGATACTGCGTTTATTGCCACAAATGTGTTATGTTCATATTGCAACACTAATCTATAATTAACGGTTAAATTACATAATACACAATATAGTTTCTATTTTAATAGGATTTCCCGTTGTTACAAGTACAACCTTTACTGTCCAAGCTCAATTTTTCCAGAGGACTACAGTTTTTTTGAGCACCTAGTTTCACCTAGCTTCACTGACGGACTGACTGACAGACTTTATTTATTTTGTATTTTTTGACGTTACAAAAGTACCAAATTATGGTTTAATTGAAATAAATGCTTTGACTTTGACTTTTTGCTCACAAGATAGCACTGATGTAGCGTGAGGTCTATGTATATTAGTCAAGTTAATGTTGTAGTTCATACATTAATATTAAAACTGTGATGTTATCTTACATAAACGGTAACACTCGAGAGATAATAATCTTACTATTAATTTACACTTTGGTGTCCTCCAAATGTTCATAATGATACTGTCAACATTTTGTCTGTTACTTTAACTATATTAGGACAGGAAAATATATACTTATCTAGAAAAGTATATACTTTTGGATACATGACTATGGTTTGCCTTCGTAGCTCAGAATTCTACAATAAGATAATACTAACTCCTTCTACCTGGAACCAGGATTTCATTTAATCAAAGACCTAATGAAATTTTTTGCCCTACTCTAAATCAATATAAAGTCTCTGAGTAATACTGGCATTGATAATGAGAAAATTCGGTCGCAACATTATGAATTCTTTATCAACGTTTAATAAATAGATCTCTTGGTGATAAAGTTAAAAATTTCTGACTTAACAACCTCTTTGTCTTCATTATCGAGATTCCAAACCCTGTCCTCACGTGACTAGCAATAGGAGCAATACTCGGTCACACGAGTAGACGTATATATCTCAGTCTAGTTCCTTACTACGCAGTGATCACATTCAATTGATATAATTTGCACATATCACGTGGCCCGCCGATCAATGTCCGCACATGTAAATCACTTGCATTTAGAATTTTAGATCGTATAATTTGTCAATGTATTTTTGACTGTAGGTACATCTATTTAGAGTAGGTATTTCATTACTACGCAGCTAAGTATAAGGTCAATGTCAGGCGCTTCGCATTTAGCGTGTATGGAATAGTTGTTTTTATGACAAATGCCAAAAAGAGATTAATATTTAGACTTAGACTGGTGTATAAATAAAAAATAGAAGGGACTGACGCAATTGTACACAGTAGAATATTAAATTACTAGCTTTTACCCGCGGCTTCGCTCGCGTCACAAAAGGATAAAAAGTAGCCTATGTGACATATACCAATACATACAGCGCCATCTATACCAATACTTTTGTTTTTCCTCGGTAATATCACATTTTTCCGGGATAAAAAGTACCCTATTATTTTATCCGGACTTCTAACTTTACGTCTGTAAAAATTCAAAGCAATCGGTTTAGTAGTTACGGCGTGAAAGCGGAACAAACAAACAAACTCACTTTCCGATTTATAATATTATAGTAAGGATTAAGTCATTAATGTTGCACCTAATATATTTGGTCGAATAAAAATATATGACACTTGTATATACATTGTCGAAGAACTAATAATATCTTTTGTGCACTACATTCATCTGCGCGTTTTCTAGTCTCATTATTGTTACAGAAATTACTAACGAAGGTAAATGAAGTATAAAATAATCAGAGAAAATGAAAGTAAACTAATGTTTTTATCTAATCAGTAAGAATTCAGTACGTGGGTACTTCCGTTTGTGAATGAATATAGGTATTTCTTTATTATCTTGAGAAAGAATTATGAAGTATTCTCTAAATAGTATGCAATATAGAGGTATTTACCAAACAACATCGCTAGCTATTGTATTATCTTGACTTAAGATAAAATATATAGTACGAAACGTATTGTTCTACTTTATCAAATTTTTTTAAGGAGTTATGTAGTTTTTGGTATATTTAATTTCTGTAAATTTTAGTAATTCATACTTATTACAGGGCTGATATTATTCAATCAACAGATAATTCCTAATTGTAGAATAAAAGTGACATGTGATAGTTTTTGGGTATGAAAGAATTGTCAAATATTTTGAATCATTCCTCCGATTTTTATTTGGCGTTGGCAAAATCGTCCCTTAATCGATATAATGATTATAGAAAGTGAATTTATAATACCTACCTATAATACCTACCTACCTACCTATAAGCAAACCAATAAAATGAAAGCTGTAAACAAACAAATTAATTATTATATTTGTCTCTTTGAGTTGGCAAGACAGATCATTTCTCGCATGTCTTGTTTGTTTGCAATTGTATTGTACAACCAAACAAACGTATAAGTGCAGTGAGACATCTCGACTAGGTAAGGTTGCCAACTTTTTTTAGAATAATTTGAGTATATCTGATTTAAAAGGAGGTAAATAAAGAGTACGGACTTACAAAAAAGAGTATCATTTATTTTAAGTTTATGATTAAGATTAAATAACAGACTTTTATTCTGATCATGGGTGTTTGCACATTATTACAGACTGGCACTAGTTAAGTAAACATTGTGTAAAAAAAGAGTATTTTAGCGTACTTTATTAGTGTTATAAATTATAGAGTACACTTAAATAATATAGAGGACAACAGTCAATACTCTATTTTAGAGTACGATTGGCAACCCTACGAGTAGGTCACAGTGCCAAGATAATGATATAAAAAAATAACTTTCTACTTTATATTGACATAAACATTATTTATGTAGAAATATTATCATGTTATTTTAAAAAAGTAGATAAATAAGGATATTAACTGGTTGAGGTGGGCTGAATACTAATACATGTGAAACTGAAAAAGTCTCATTTTTTTCCAAATAAGCAAATTAGGTCACGAGCAACGTCATCTACCGATTTTGAACGGAACTAAATGTAATTCAACATTTTTTTACCATATTTTTATATAATTAAAAGTTTAAATATTGCATCATGGAATTCCCTATTTCTATTATCTAATTAATACCTCGGGGTTCGTTATCTACAATCAAAATAAAAGTACTAAGACCAAAATTACATGCGTTGTAGATAATGATGACGCGCGGGCGCAACCCAGAAACTGATAAAACAACGTGTTTTAGGTAGTGAAATTGTATGACATAATATCACACTCCATTTTGTTGAAATGGTAAGCTGTTCTGCACTTAGCTCCAGATTACAAATCGAACAAGCTTAATCCTAAAGATTATTCCCTGAAGGGTAAAGCAAAGATGCACACATTTTTCTTAAAAATACCTCATATTGCAAGAGCGGACGAGCCAATTGCCAAACTGGGCACTGCTCCAAAAACTCTGAACAGCCCCATCAGAGGCCTTAGTACGAGTTTCATTTACGTTTAAAGTATTCGAAACGAGTGCGCGTTTGGCACTCTGATTGGCTGGCGCCAATGAACCAACCAATAAGAGCGCCGAACGCGTACTCGATACGATTACTTTAAACGTAAATGAAACTCGTACTAAGGCCTCTGATGTCTTTCACGGATTTGCAAAAGTAAATCAACTGAAATTACCATTTACTAGCTTTTTTAACCGATTACCGATTTTATATGAAACACTAGCTACTTCAGCGCGGTTTCACACGCTCTGCTCAGCTCCTATTGATCGTAGCGTAATGTTTTATAGCTGTTTTATGCATTATCTAACACAAAAAAGAATTATTCAAATCAGACTTGTAGTTACGGAGATTAGCGCGTTCAAACAAAAAAACAAACTCTTCCGCTTTATATAATAGTATAAGATAATATTCATTCTCCTTGTTAGAAGAACCAAGGCTTCTTTTAGCAGCGATGATATATAAAATACAATGCTAATTCAAAACCTTTTGCACTGTAGGTCAGCTGAAAGGCTGGACGAGCCCTAAGGACGTGATCCTGAAGGTCGCCGGCATCCTGACGGTGAAGGGAGGCACTGGTGCCATCGTGGAGTACTTCGGCCCCGGTGTCGACTCCATCTCCTGCACTGGTATGGCCACCATCTGCAACATGGGTGCTGAGATCGGAGCTACCACTAGCGTAAGTTGATAAATAAAAAGGGATTTTATTTTGTTATTTATAAGGTATAAAGTCCTTTGAATTCGTTTATATGTGACCTGATAAATAAATAAATGAATTGTTCTCATTCTAATACAAGACTTGTTGGAACTGCACTTTGGCCAATAGTGGAACATGGTGCCTATTAAAATATGCACGCAATCCCGGCCACGAGATAGACAGATCAAGGGCACTATACTTATTGATAACTTTATCTTAATGAGGCATTACTCATCTAATACACGTTTCTGTCTAGACAACAGATCAAAACAAATGTGTGTTTATGTATTACATTATGAAATGTCAATCGTCTTTGGATGATTCTCTCGCCTTCTCCTTTCTTACTTTGTCAAGGCGTCAAAAAGACCTCTGAAATTGTGGTATGTAGAAATTAACCTTTTTATATTAAAATGCTTTTTGTAGCCTTGCAACTCAACAAAATCTATGTATAATATGTATAAATATGTTATACATATTACATGTATTAACTTACACAGGTGTTCCCCTACAACAACCGTATGGAAGCCTACCTGAAGTCGACTGGCCGCAGCGACATCGCCGGACTAGCCAACAAGTACAAGCACCTCCTCACTCCCGACTCTAAGGCACCTTATGACCAGGTAATAAAGCACTATTTGCTTTGAAACCTTTTTAGATAAATGCAGTGACCTTTTCTACCTCAAAGAAGGAATAATCTACAAAAGAATAATTTTATTCGATTTATTTCGGTGTATAAAATAATTATAAAATATAAAACAACGATTTTGGAGTTATGAAATGACTATAATAAAAACTCGATAATAATCCGCAGGTTGTGGAAATCGACCTGTCGACTCTGGAGCCGCACGTGAACGGTCCGTTCACTCCGGATCTAGCCAACCCTATCAGCAAGTTGGGCGACATCGCCAAGAAGAACGACTGGCCCGTCGACATCCGCGTCGGACTCATCGGCTCCTGCACCAACTCTTCGTACGAAGACATGGGACGCTGCGCCAGCATCGTCAAGGAGGTAACATAAGTCATCAAACTCTGTGGCTTAATCATAGTTTTATGTAAAGTTTTTCACTTAAAGGTTGACTTGTAGTAAATTAAATGTTTAGTTAAATACATTCGAATCTTCATCATTGTAACTTAGATTTTTATAGTTATCTTTAATTTGATAAATATCTGGTTACATCCAGTTTATCATCTCCGGGTCTTTGTTTTTTATTCGATCGAACCAAAAGTCGATGCCACTTTAATAACACGCCAGTTATCAATTTATAAACAAATACAAATATTTTATTATAGCCACCACTTATACTATACGATCTATCGATTTACTATAAGTTCTAAAAGGTATTTTAAAATTGTAGAATCGTCAAACATTTGTACAGGGATTATCGCGAAATACAAATTATTATATTTAAATGGTTTCATCATCATTTAAATAAAAAGTAGGTGTATAATTAATTTCGGCTCTCTTTATTTATAATTATTTATTTACATCTGCATTTGTTTGAGGATATTCAACATATAATTCTGTGCACAGGCGCTGAAGCACGGCGTTAAGTCGAAGGTTCCGTTCAACGTGACTCCTGGCTCGGAGCAGATCCGCGCCACCATCGAGCGGGACGGTATCGCACAAACACTGCGAGAGTTTGGAGGCACTGTGAGTACACTAACACTATGTAATATCTTCATCTTCATTAGCCATGCTTCAGTAAAACTGAGCCGACTCGACCTGAGTGATCCATGGCCTCAGAGAAAATCGGCGTGAAACAACCGAAGCACTCTGATGTCCATTTATCGGCTATCACGACACCAGCTGGTAGAATTAGATGGCAAATGTATTGTACATACATAACACATGTCATAAAGTAACAATTTCTTTCATCATCGTCAACATCAACAGCCTATAAATGCCCATTGCTGAGCAAAGCCTCTTCTCATACAGAGAAGGTTTGAGCATTAATCACCACGCTTGCTCAATGCAGGTTGGCGATTACAAACTTAAAATTACAAATTATACTTAACTCCAGGTTTCCTCACGATGTTTTCCTTTACCGTCTGTCAGTGATATCTAGATAATCTTAGAAAGTAATAACAATTTATTTATTGTCATGCTATTATTGTTTGTACTTACATTAACTATAACTTTAATACAGAATTACAGACTGCCAATGAGGCAGTCTGTAATTCATTAATATTATTTTTATTATCAGATATTGTCCAGATACA